TCGAGTGAAGGAACAGGTGTATGCGAAGGACATTTCAGTCCAAATAGCACCGACACCATTTGAGCGGAAATGCTCAAACGGAGTTCCTAAATCTTAACTGAAATAAAAATAGCGATAATAATAATGTATATTTCACGACGCCCGTGAAGCATGCACAAAGCATGAGCATATGTTCAAAATAATCATATGTACATCAATGGTGCAGATATATAGAAGGTCCAGTTAGAAGATATACACAATGGAGACGGCTGGGGACCGGAATTAAAACGCAGTGCAAACGGAACACAAAGCAGACATGGTCACATACGTAGATTGGGGGGATGGAGGAATACACTGGGTGAGCATGTCAACGGAAATTGAAGGAACAGCGAACCTTGTATCGAGAAGATTCGACGTGCGGAATTAACGGCAGGAAAACATGGATCGAAGGTCNAGACTTGTCAAATACATGTTTCTCTGTCAGCTGCATAACAGCTTGCTTCTGAGAGCACATTCATCTGGGTTCGGGGCTTCAATCGGCAACGGACTGATTTAGATTATTTAGACGTTGGTCACTTTGATGTGGGTCTGACTACACGCTAGACAACCAACCTTAAAACGCCATGTAGCTGAGGCAGGAGGTGGGATCCTCAGCCTGGTCAGGAATGCGGACGCATGTAGCCAAAATGGTGGAGACAGCCGTGCCCATTGCCGGAGCCAAATTGTCCATTGTGGGTGTTGACGTCAAGCCTTTGACAGGCCCAAACCAACCGAATCTGGAATAAGGAGGCGATACACAACAGTCTGGGATGAAACCCAGCTGAGAAAAAGTGGGGGAACAAAACATGTCACGGACACTATGCACCGTGGAATAAAACAAAAAAGTACATGGATCTCCAAATAGGTATATATTAGGCCCTTTATTGTTTCTTATGTACATAAACGATATTTCAAAATCTATTCACTGTGGAACCCCCTTCTTCTTCGCCAATGATATTAAAGTGGTTCATTATTTCCCATCAAATAAGATAATAAACGTCCTAGAAGACATTTGGTCAGACCTTCTTTCTCTTGACCGTTGATGTTTCATGTGGTCATTGCCTTTCTCGGCAAACAAATGTAGCATAATGTCTTTCCGATGTCAAGTGCTTCCAGGTACTTTGACCATGAACAGTATCCCTATTACCCATTCCTCATCCGTTGGTGACCTCGGACTCAGCTACTCTTGTTCTCCTAACTTCTCGGAGCATTGTGCGTTGCAAGTAGCCAAGGCCAAACGCTCAATAAACCTTTTCTTTAGAACATTCAGTCTCCGCGAGAGCATACTTACTCTGTATAAATCCAATACTAGGCCGTTGTTAGAGTTTTCTTCAATAGCATACTTCAGCATGAGAAACCTGTATAAAGCAGCCATAGAGAACGTCTAGAGAAGATCTACTAAACAAAGTCTTGACTGGACCTCAGACTTAAACTAAATGGAGCGATGTCTCCTCTTAAACCTCGACCCCTAATGGTTACATCGTGTAGAACTTTACCTTACTCCTCCGCATGGATTCCTTTATAGCCGGGCCTCTTTTAGTAGATGCAATCCGATTTGAGGTTGATCCACCATAACCCATTCGTAACCATTTAAACGTTCTCCTTACCTAATGATAGAACAAAAACTAGACGAAAAGGTTTCCTAAATAGGTATTGACGCCTCTGGAATAAACTTCCTGTCGAAATAAGGTAAATAACGTCCACCTTACCATTTAGGAATCACATCCGTCAAACTTTCTATTGTATCTCAAATGATCCAATTGCACAATCATCACGACGATTCATTAGCTTGTGAAAACGGGCTAGATTACCATACGTCAACGATATATCTTAGTATGCGAAATATTTTAGCACGTACTTATGAAGTATTGTGACTTATCATTCCTTAAGTGACACCTTTCTGATCTCGTTTTTCATTTGACACATTACAATAACAGTAACAATGGTATATTTCACAACGAAAGTAGTGAAGCATGCTGGGATGCACAATCATTTTGTACAATAAATGACTAAAGATTTTGGTCGACAGCTAGTGGGGTTAGAAAACAACGGAGCGCGATTTGTTTGCGCGCGAGAAACAAAGAGAAACACAAAACGGTCAGTGAGCAATTTTGTTCATTCGGAAAATTTATAAAAAGGAAGGTGAGCAATGAAGCACATTTTTAACAGGTTATAGTTCTGTGGATAAGGAGTTATGGAGACCAAAAGTCACAGAGGCGGAAATGTAACAAATTAAAAAGTGTACACATGTCAATGGGTTTATGTGATTAAGAATTGAGTTCTATCAGGGAAGAGAAATGAAAACTGCACGTACTGGATGCGGTAAAGATGACAAACGTTGATCGTGTGGAGGTGGAAAGACACAAAAACTGGATAGTTGGAGTTTTTTTGAAGGGTTTCTGCATATGTGCCAGCTCAATTCTGTGGATCATGCTAAGCAGATTGCAGTATTTACTTTCTCAACTTAAATCCTATCAGTGCACAGATTGAGCTTCAAGGCTGGATCTGTGGAACGCAACACATTTTGATACACACCTCTACAAGTATTGTGACCCTTTAATCCTTACTTGATATTTTTTTGATCTCCATTTCATTTGATTGATTCAGCTCGATTTCGTGGCACATGCTAATCAGGTAGCAGTGTTCACTTCCTCAAACGAAATCTCATCAGTACACTGATTCAGCTTCAAGCTGGATCTTTGGAACATGATCCATTTTGGTGCACACTTTTATAAATATTATGACCCATTAATCCTTACTTGATATCATTCTAATTTCGTTTCTCTTGCAACTCTTTCAGATCAGTTTCGTGATACTTTTTGATCAGGCAGCAGTAATCGCCTTTCAACCCATCCCTCATCAGTACACTAGTGGAGCTTTAAAGCTAGATCAGTGAAACAAAAACCTTTTAGGTGAAAACATACACTAGATTTGTCACCTATAATTTTTAACATTTTAGTTCCCTCCTGTCATGTCGAATCTTTTGATCTACCTCATCTCTGTGGTACATGCTGATCAGGGAACAGTGTTCACGTTTCACCCCATCTCTATTTCAGTACATTGATACAGCTTCAAAACTTTATCAGTGGAATATAAATATTGTTGGTGAATACATTCTCAAGTATATTCACCCCGTTCTCCTACCGTGGTAACCCCACACCTCACACCTCTCAATCTTTCCTCCCAATATGCCGTGACACGTACGAGCCAAACTGCTGTGTACATGTTCATATTAACGATTCATTATTATTATACAGTTGAAACGTTTCAAGCCTCTAGATCTTAAAGGGTACTCGCCTTTTCACTGTATCGTTTCAAGATGCACTTTCCCTGCGCATTTATTTTTAAATATAAATATACTTAGAGTAATTTAACCTCTCCGTATATTCTTTTGCAATATGTTGTGTTCCTACTAACCCCTTCTCAGCTGGGTATTACCTGAGACTGCCGAGTTTCGCCCTTTTGTTGCAGATTTTGTTGGTTTGGGCCTGCCGGAGGCTGAGAATCGAAACCCACAATGGGCAACTTGGCTCCGACAATGGTTATTAGGCGCGGCTGTTTACATCACTTTGACATCATTCGTCCGCATTCCAGACCAAGTTGAGAATCACACCCCTTGTCTCAGCTCCAAGGTGTTTTAAGGTTGAGTGTCTGGCGTGTAGTCAGTCCCACATCAACGCAACCAACGCCTAAATAATATAAACCAGAAAATCCATTAACAGTGATGGCCCAAAGCCCATTGTTCCTTGTTCACAGAAGATACTCCATCTGTATCGATCTTTGAAACTGTTTATTTATAAGCCGTCTCCTTTTGTATCACTGTGCTCTTGTTTAGGTCGATTGCAGCTCTTCCTCTGAAATTATGAATCTTTCTTTATCACTATGCTTCTTTTGTTCTTTAAACTCGTTTCCGCGCATTCCTCTCGAGCGGATATTCCAACTTCCAGTTTTGTGTCCCCTCAAATATTCTCCATATGAAAAACGTTTACATTGATGTGCTCCACATAACATATCACCCTCAGTACTCGGTTATATGACTTTGTCTGCTTTGTGTTTTTTTTTACTGCAATGCACATTTACGATATCTTCCGTAATCGTTTGAGAATTACGTTCCTATCCTCTCTGTACTGTTACTTTTTGTCTCGATCGCCTTTTTCAAATTGTTGTTAATTTGATCATATGCACTAGCATGCTTCACGGGATTCGTAAAATATACCGTTACTATTATTAATATCAATACTTAGAAGCACTCCTTCGCCAAAGAAACACAATAACTACATATCCATTTCAGAAAAGGACATTGCCTGTGGAACAAATATTTCTGCTTGGATAATTTGCAAAATCTTTCGTGGTACCATGCCCTTCACCTATCACACTGGATACTACTTTGCACCTGTTCCTGACACTGATTGATTTCATAGTGGTCAAGTCCGGGTGCCATTTTAGAAACACGGCAGAATGTACCGAAAAAGGACTAAAGAAGACTCGTAACCGTAAAGGAAAAAGTACCAAAAGATTAACCTATAAAATTTCTAAACAGCGAAAACGTTCCGCAGTGACTAATCAAAACCAGTCAGAGTTTAGTACTATGAAATATCTTGCAATATTTCGCGGGTAAAAGAAAAACCGATAACATAACGGCATTGAAACCGGAATGGCTGGACATGTGTTCAGTACTAATAATTGCCTTACGTTCTCTGTTCCTTTCAGGCGCACAATGGTTGAACACGGTGAGCACTAATAACGAAGAACCAGAATAGTCAGGAAATACATGAGAACTTACAATCACCACGAACCTTACGCACCTCTTCTCCCAGAGACAGTTGTACAAAAATACTTTTTTGCCTCTCGTGCCTTGCATCAACATATACGTTGTGTGCGACGACCGTGTTTTCTCTGTGTGAGCGTATCTGACAGTGAGAGGTGTAATCGAGTGCTGGTGATAACGCATATCTACTGCTACTATTTCAGAGCGTTCCTGTGGACCTTTCTACGTGCCGCGTGAGTCCCGTACCCACTTCACAATACAAATAGGGGAATATAATGTGAAATATTCCGAGATATCTCACTTTAACTTGGCGCAAACAAGCCCTCAGTTCATTGATCACTGCGATAAAATTCAATCTATTAGTACTGAATTTGTGTTCTGATTTGCCTGTGCGAGCTATGAACCGGTCCAGGGCCATGATGAATGAATCCGTTGAGTTTGAGTGCGCTACCTCTGGAGGTACAGCTCTGATTGTCATGCAGGTGAAGATACATCCGTGTCTTTTCTCCACGGACCGGCCCCACATAGAATAAAATGGTTCGAAATAATCTTGACCAACCGAGTGGAATAGGGATAGTTAGCTACTCATTCTATTCATAGGCAATGGAGCCATTAGCTGACACCCTGGTTTACCCAGTTTTCTGCGACAGTAAATGCATTTGCTCAGAGCTCTCGTTACTGAGGCACCACCTTTGATTATCCAGAACCGCCTCCAAATTTCAGATAACACGTGCTCGGACCCTAAATGACCTCTCTTCTCATGAAAGTGACGAATGAGAAGTTCGGTTACATGGTATCGTGAGGGCAGGACAACTGGATGTCTTGCCTCATGTGGTAGGTGCGCGTTTTACGGTCTACCACCAACTGGAAGCATTCCATTTACTAAAATTACACACACTTTACGTAGGGGGCTACCCCTGTGCACCTGTCCCTCAGGGTCCATTGGCGAAACCTGATCATCTGGGGAGGATAATGCGTAAACTAGACGTACAACATTAACACAGGCAAGCTCAGTCTTCTCTGTCGATAGTCTACCCACCCATAGTGACAAGACACCTTTCTTTCCAAACATCATGCTGATATATTGCGTGAAGTGTCTCATCCAAGCTGCCGCTCGCAACAGCTTATACCACTGCTAATGATAAGAAAGTAAATTGACGCTTCTCGCGACGGTTGTTTGGTTGATAGTCACGGTGCGCTTAAGCTCAATCTGCCCTTCGATTCCTTCACTGGAGACCAATTTGAAGGGAGAAATCTCTTCTAAGCTTCTCAGAAATAGCGCTTCTCGCAGCCAACTACTCCACTTCGGGCCGTCCGCCCTCAGACCGCGAGTGCCGTAGTTTGCAGGATTTATTGTCCCCTTTAATTGATATCATTGCTGAGGTGTTGAGCTTTTATGTATTATAACCAATCGGTTGGCTATAAATGTGCTATAACGAGCTGATCTGTCAAGTAATAAAGCACAATTGTTGAATCAGTCCAGTAGAATATAGACCCCTTTGAAATATCCAACTCCCAGCTTATGGTATCACATAACTTAATTGCTATAACGGCAGCCGCCAGTCCTATTCTAGGTATGGTAACTACCTTAAGTGGAGTCGCGCGGAATTTAGCCATAGCCAGGTTACATACAACATTACCATTCATGCTGTCCCTGAAGTAGGCCTCGGCCCCGTAAGCTGATTCAGACGCGTCACTGAATGTGAAGTTGGAATGACTCACAGGCTCTTTTGTTTTCACTCCCCATACACCTCGGCACTTTTAGTTCCTTCGATTTGTTAACCTCACTAACCCAGGATTTTCAAGTGCGCCGGTCATCCTCACCTACTAGTTCATCCCATCCAAGGGTTTTGAGATGAATTGCCTGTACCAATACTACGCCCGTTAGAACTATTGGAGTAACGAGACCCAGAGGGTCAGACAGAGAAGCAACATACGACGGCAGTCCTCTTTTAGTGAACGGTTTCCAAATTGCTTCAAACGGGAAGACGAAGGCACTGTCAACACTTAGCCAATTCATGCCTACAGTACGCTCTTGGGCATCTAGATTCATATTCAGCTGTGCACAACTAACAGCCCTTTCGCTCTCTGGAATATTGCTTATGGCGTCACTGCAGTTGCTCAACCACTTGCATAGCCGGAAACCTCCCCTGCTAGCGCTACTCTTAATTGCTCCGCGAAAAGCATCGCTTGCTTAGCATCGTCAAACAATGCTAAACAGTCGTCGACGTAAAAATACCGTCCAATTGCACATCTCACACGATCATTGCTTATGTCTGTGAATGATTACATCGTGCGGCGTGAGGTGTTGTTCGCACAAAATGGATGAACTAAAATTCTTTATTCCTTTGTTTTTTGGTTGAGATCTCTATCAGGCCACCATTGGAACCTCAATGCCCTCCAGTCACGTTCAGGCACCCTAACCTTCAGAAACATCTCATGTACGTCTGCCGCTACAGCTACTTTGCCCAGCAGTACTACAACTAACTTAGCTACGGTATCTGGTCTTGACAACAAGTGTTGCTTAAGACAACTTCCTTGATAGGTGGCTGCATATTCAAAGACTACTCGAACCTTTTC